GCACGGGTGGCACTGTCCTTCCCCAGCACTGCAGGGCGCTCTGGGGGCAGCCCAGGAGCTCCAATGCCACCCCTGGAGCTGCCCAGACCGAGCTCTGGCTCCCTGCAGACATGCAGCACAGCTCTGCACGCCAGCCCGAGTGCCCACGCTGCACAGCGGGGCCCTGCTCCCCGCTCTGGGGACACCACACAGCTGCCACCAAGCCAGGGGACACGGCAACAGTGCACCACACACAGGGTGGCCAGCAGGTGCTGGGGAACACAGCCTGTCCCTGCAGCCCAGCCCTGCCCCAGCACACAGCTCTGTCCCAGAGCTGCCCGGCCTGAAGAGGAAAGCACTGGCCTCCTTCTTCCAGCCCAACACAAAACGCACAGTCAGCACTTGAAGGATCACTGGGAAGGCAGAGCAGGCAGCAGAACGTGACCTGACAGGGGAAGAAGGGTCCCTTCCTCCAAGCTCCAGCTCCTGTGGCTTTACTCAGCACCTCACACGTTCAAAGACCTGTAACACAATTCTCAGGACAGCAACCACCGCACTTGACTGAGTTTTTATTAATTGATTGATATGAATTATGTGCGTTGTGATGGTTACCCTTAAAATCTGAGTGGCTATTGACAGAGAGCTATCTGTACAAAAAGAACTCCAAAATACTTCTATTGTCTCCCCACCAGCCACGTTCTGGTGAGCACAGTCAAACTTTGGAGGGTGCAGCTGGGAAACAAGCACTACAGAGGCACATGTGAAACCCTCCACGGACTGGGAGAACAGGAAAATGAAACTGCCTCAACAGAAGTGACTCCGATTTCCTCGATCTGTTGGGGTTTATTAGCGGATGCCAACAGCAAAGACCTCACTCCAAATCCAGCGGCAGTGTTTCTGTTTAGCACATGATGATGACTGCAAAGGGACAGTGAGTGTAACCGCTCGAGGCTGGCGTGGAGCGGCTTTGCAGGGAGCAGAAACTCGCTGCCTGCCGGGAGCACACGGCCGCTGACACGGGAGCGGCTCCGAGCGCCCGGCCCGGCCGCGGCCCGGGGACCAGCGGCTGCGAGCCGCGGCAGCCCGGCCCGGGAGAGCCGGCAGGGCGGAGCGGAGCCCGCCAGGCTGCGGCCC